TGTTCTTCGTTCATAAATACTGCTCTTTTTAACTGGTGATTTGTAAGGATAATGTTGGTTCGTATATGGTGATTTGATTCGTAAACATTTGGTTCATAATTTGGTGATTCATAAATATTTGGTGATCTATCAGTGAAGTGATATTTTTGAGTAATCCTCAAAAGACGAAGTGATCGATAATCTTGTTATCCAAACACACACGCACATATAAACACATACATACACGCGTATGCACGCACGCACAAAAGAGTACGCACCCGTACACGAGCAGAAACACACACACTCATTTATATGCACAGGTATATATGAAATTAATGAAATTTGCTTGCCTATACACCTTATAATAACTATTATTATTGTTATTATTAAGATATCAGTTCTACGAATGCGCCAAAGAGGTCAAGTATTGTGGCCGTCAGAAAATCACTGTGTAATCCTCGCAGTTTTTAACAAATCGGTGGTAGACTTTTTCGAGTAAACGGATTACATGGCGGCCTTCTCCGACAGTTAATCTCCTCCTATATTCTGAATTGATAGCTGTATAACTCCTGGCCCTTGTTGGTGTCATAAATCAGTTAAATTACACTCGGCTTCGACGAAAGGAAGGGATATAGACTATAGATATAGACTTTACTGAGAAACAGTTCATCTGTATCAACCTGGGAGCGCCACAATCCGCGTTCGCTCTCTTATTCGTGCCAACGCGATTCTAGGAAGGAAATGGTCACAGAGATTTCATGGATGTGAGACACAGGAAAAACCGCTTCGCTCTAGGATAGTGCGCTAGATTTAGTGACAGACCCAAAAGCCACTGAGGAGCACCTCATCGGTATCGAGGGCCTCAAGTGGATTGCCTTTGCGAAGACGTCTTGATAAAGCCGATGACTTCATGGAGGCAGTTTGGATCTGAAGTGTGATCGGGTCTGAATACGGCGGTACAGGTATAACATCAGAACACTGGCCAGGGAACGACAACTGAATGTACGCTTGGTTATGAGAGCGTTTCATCTGCTTTAACAGAACGCAGATTCAGAAGTGCCATCATCCGGGCGTGTGTTCAAAAATCTCAAGAGATCATTAGCAGATGATGCTGAACAGTCGAAAAATAAATAGCAACGCACCGACTGTCGGTACGAAGGTGAATTTTTTGCACTGTTCCCCGCAGGTTTCTGTAGCTAACGGCATTTTTTTTCTGGCAGATGCTTCTCGCTAAACGAATTGAAACTGACCGTAAGGACGCCAGGA